TCTCGGGCGTTTGTCCGCGACTTGTCTGCGGACAAGCTGTCCCCTCGTGCTGCTCCCTGCGTCTTCCTGGGGTTCCCCCCCGACGCCCCTGGGTGGCAGTTCTACCACCCCACCTCTCGCCGTGTTCTGTCCTCCCAGGACGTCACGTTCGACGAGTCGGTACCCTACTACCGCCTCTTCCCCTACCGCACTCCGTCCCTCCCCCCACCCCCGCTCTTCTTGGTACCAGGTCCCCCCCCCGGTAGACCCCCTCCCCCCTCAGGGTCCTGCCCCTTCAGGTGTGTCCCAGGTAGACGCGGTCGAGCCTGTCGAGGTCACTGGTGACTCTGGTGCTGCTGCGGGTGCTGAGCCTAGGGGTGCTGCGACTGGGTGTACTGTGCCTAGGGGTGCTGAGACTGGGGGTGCTGAGCCTGGGGGTGCGGAGCCTGGGGTGCTGAGCCTGGGGGTGCGGAGCCTTGGGGTGCTGAGCCTAAGGGTGCTGAGCCTGGGGGTGCTGAGCCTGGGGGGGCTGAGCCTAGAGGTGCTTTGCCTGGGGGTGCTGAGCCTGGAGTTTCTTCGCCTGGTGGTTCGCCGGGTGCTTCGTCTTGCCGAGAGCCACTCTCCCCACAGGAGCTGCGTGAGTGGTTTGCCCGGCGCTGGAGGCGTACTGCTGGTGCTGGAGGTACTTCGAGTGCTGAGGGTGCTGCTGTCGCGGGTCCCGGAGGTGCTCGTACTGGGAGTACAAGAGCTGGTGGGCCTGCGGGTTCGACTGGAGTTGGTGCTGCTGAGGGTGTTGGCGCTGAGACTACCACTGGCGGTCCTGCTGGCGGTGCTACTAGAGCGGGTGCTCCTGGTGCTGTTGGGGGTTCTGGAGCTGCTGGAGGTGCTACTGGAGCGGGTGCTCCTGCTGGGGGTGCTGGTGCTGTCCCTGCTGTGTCTGGCGTCGCCGCGCGGCCTCGACCGTACTTCGTTCCTATCCTGCAGCAGGTTCTTGGTCTTCCACCTTCTACTGGCTCTCCTCCTCTCTTAGAGGGTCCACAGCCTGTCCCGTCCTAGTCACAGCTACAGCTTGCTTCCCCCTAACCTGCTCCTTCTCCCTACGCTGGTCCTACTGGAGGTCTTACTGAGCGTCGTAAGCCTGCGTCTCGTCCTGCGTCGCCTGTTCGTCCTGCACGCGCTAGTGGTCGCAGTTCGCGTAAGCGTCCTCCTCCTGTCCCTGGCACGCACCGGATGTCACTGCGTTCGTCTACTGCTCCTCTGTGTGCCCCTTTACCTTCTCCTCCTGAGCCCTCTCTTCCTGCTCTTGCCGACCCGGAGTCGGACTCTCTTCGTGCTGCCAGTCCTACTGTCACGCGTTTCCTTGCTACTATCGTCACTGACCCTTCTTTCGAGTCTTCTGCTGCGTCTGCCCTCGTTACTGAGCTCGTTGACTTTGCTGCTCGCTGTCACCTAGACTACGCTGCTAGTCTTGTCGCTGAGTCTGAGTCTGTCTGTCCTCCGTCCGTCGGGGGTGAGTGTGCCCTTGGCACGGACGTCCTCGAGGACAGGCAGGAGGAGTTCCAGTGCCTGGCAGCCGCTTCACCGCATCTCTTGTCCGTACTGCTTACCCCTGAGGGAGACCCGGATGCACTTGACATCCCGACTCCGCGCTCTTACGCGGAGGCGATAGAGGGTCCCTACTCCTCTCAGTGGCAGGCAGCTATGGATGCAGAGATGGCTTCCTGAAAGTCCACAGGCACCTACGTTGACGCTGTCCCCCCTCCTGTGGCGAACATTGTCAGTGGCATGTGGATCTTCAGGGTGAAGCGGCCGCCGGGTTCTCCGCCTGTCTTCAAGGCGCGTTACGTGGCTCGTGGCTTCAGTCAGCGGCAGGGGGTTGACTACTTTCAGACCTTCTCCCCCACCCCGAAGATGACCACTCTTCGGGTACTACTGCACGTTGCTGCTCACCGTGACTACGAGCTGCACTCTCTCGACTTCAGCACAGCTTTCTTGCAGGGCAGCCTGCACGAGGAGATCTGGCTGCGCCGCCCACCTGGCTTCACTGGGTCTTTCCCTCCTGGTACCCAGTGGAGTCTCCGGCGTCCAGTCTACGGTCTCCGCCAGGCGCCCCGTGAGTGGCACGACACACTGAGGACTACGCTTGCGGCTCTTGGGTTTGCTCCTTCTACTGCAGACCCGTCGCTGTTTCTGCGCACCGACACCTCTCTGCCGCCATTCTACATCCTCGTGTACGTCGACGACTTGGTCTTTGCCCCTGCTGACACTGCTGGACTCGCCTACGTGAAGTCCGAGCTGCAGAAGAGACACACGTGCATTGACCTGGGTGAACTGCGCAGCTACCTTGGCTTGCAGATCACCCGGGACAGAGTAGGCCGCACCATTACCCTGACTCAGTCACACATGGTGCAGCAGGTCCTTCAGCGCTTCGGCTTCACGTACTCCTCGCCTCAGGCCACTCCTCTGCCTACTCGCCACTCGCTCTCAGCTCTGCGTTCGGATGAGTCCGTAGAGTCGAGTGGCCCGTATCCAGAGCTTGTTGGCTGCCTCATGTACCTGATGACCTGCACTCGACCTGACCTTGCATACCCTCTTAGCATTCTCGCACGCTATGTTGCTCCTGGGAGACACCGACCAGAGAACATGGCTGCAGCGAAGAGGGTGTTGCGCTACTTGTGCAGTACGTCGGGCATGGGGCTTGTGCTTGGAGGGCGGAGTCCAGTGGTCCTCACTGGGCACGCGGACGCTTCTTGGGCTGACGACCAGGCTACGCAGCGGTCCTCACAGGGTTACACCTTCAGCCTCGGTTTCGGCTCTGTTTCGTGGCGGGCTACTCGCTCGTCTTCTGTTCTCGGCTCCAGTTGTGAGGCTGAGATCTACGCCGGGGCTATGGCTGCCCAGGAGCTTCGCTGGCTCACCTACCTGCTGACCGACCTTAGAGAGCCGCCTCGTTCTCCTCCAGTCCTGTACTTAGACAACAAGGCCATGCTGGCCTTGTGTCGAGAGCAACGACTGGAGCACAGGACAAAGCACATTGCTCTCCGCTACTTTCTTGCTCGTGACCTACAGCAGCGTGGACAGTTGCGGCTTGCGTACGTGGCCTCTGAGGCCAACACTGCTGATGTCTTCACCAAGGCACTTGCGCCTTATGATCATCAGCGCTTCTGCACTCAGTTGGGTCTTGTGCCTGTCTTGCCTCACTTGCTCACTTCTTGACCTTGCTTGTACTGTCACTTATATATACTCTTGCCCTTGCTTGCTTAGCCTCTTGTATATCTATATATATATGTGTTCTTGCATGTGAAGTGGCCTTTTGGCCTTTGAACTTGTGCTCGGAATGTGTGGTGACTTTGTGATCCACTCTGAGCTTTGCCTTGCTTTGCTTGACTGGTCTTGTGACCCCTTGTTCTCCCCCACTTTGCCTATGGGGGTGTGTCAGAACATTATAGCTTGCTTATTTGTGTAGGCTATAGTGGGGTATCCCATAAGGGGTACAACCCAATTAGGGTTTCCTATATGTACTCACTTCATTCATAGTCATTTCATTCTCGTTCTCATTCTCACATTTCCAACACTATCAAGGGTTATGGTCAGCATTTCCTGGGTGAACGTGAAACCCCCGCATCGGATCCAGACTCGATCGAGTTGTCTACAGACCAGGCCCTCCGATATCAGGAATTTTCCCCTGAAATTCCTGATTTTCAGCCTAGTTTTGTGTACCTCCCCTGATTTTTCAGTGTTGAGATTTTTGGGACACTGATTTTTTCAGCTTTTACGTCATAGCTAACACTGATGTTTCAGACATTTATCGAAGTGTACACTGAATGCACGTTCCGAATCTTTCCCGTGAAACTTTAAAGAGTTCAAAATTTTACGTTTAATATATTGACAGGGTGAAACGTCTCAGTGGTTTGCGTAATCTACACGGAATGAAAAGGTCCGTGCTTCGAATCCATCGGTTAGCATATTTACTAAAGGCATTTTAGGCTTTTGTTTTTAGGAACTCTGAAAATTCAGGTTTTTTTTTTTTTTTTTGGAACCCTGAAAAATCAGGCATTTTTTCACAGGGACCCTGATGCATCAACGTTCCTAAAAGTGAATCTGAGGGCCTGCTACAGACCTGTCTGTCATCAACCACTTTAAAGCTTTCAATCAATCTGCACAAAGATATACCGTATGGCCCGGGATATGCAGGAGACGGAGGAACGGGAGGAGCAGGAGGAGCAGGAGGCGCAGGAGGCGCAGGAGGAGCAGGCGGCGCAGGAGGCGCAGGAGGTTGTGGTGGCTCTGGTGGGATACGGGAATACCACCCGTCAGCGTCAACTCTAAACGCGGGCCTAGCAGAAGGCTTCTTCTTAAACAAGAAATGGGTGCCGGTGAATTCCACCATGGCTTCCGCAGCCTGGCGGGAAAGAACGAGAAACTGAATGAAAAACTGGATGAAAGATGCAAGAAATGAAAGTATGAAGGGGACCCCTTCGGCATGGCGCCTCGGGGTCCTCATCAATGAACGAGGGTTGCCCCTCTGCCTGAACCCGCAGAGGAGGGTTCATGGAACCATCCATGCTGCGCTGGCAGGGCATCTTCTACCCCCTTTCTAGAGGGTTCGGTCGAGATGCTCCTGCCTGGCAGCGCATGACGACCTCATTGGGCCGCACGACAGGTTACGCGTCAGCGCTGGCAGGTGCATTGCTCCTAGACAAGTTTTGTGTGGTGGGAATTTGAATCGCGGCAAGTTTCGCCGTGATTCCATGCACGATCCCATGCGCACGTCACATCATTGTATTCGCCTTATTGAGAGCTTCAATTTGGTTCATTTGAATTCGAAAATCATTTTTGCCGTTATAAAAGCGCCGGCGCTTATGGCCGTTCCTCAATTACTAGCGCCACCCCTAAAAAAAATGATTTTATTATAAGCGCATACGCGCTACTATCCGGGGCGATACGGTACCGCAACACTGGCCCTGCTCGAGTATTAGATGAGCACGGATTAGAAAAGCAACATTGATGAAGTGGCTGCT